CACCCACACACACACACACACACACACACACACTTTCACACACACACACACACACACACACACACACACACACACAAACACAATCTGATCCAATCCAGTCTTAAGTGTTTCTCTATGAGCGTGGTATCGTCTCAGCTGTGTGTGTGTGTGTCGTTGGTGTGTTATAGCTGCGTTTACAAAAGTAACATGCTCTTTTTTTGTCTGTTTGTGCAATTGCAGGTGGCAGTACAGGCTGTATTTGTCATTGTAGATATGTGTGTGTGACGATTAAGGTTACAGGCGGCATTTACACGACTGCAAAAAACAAACACAAGTTCATTTACATTAACAGGGTGATCCTGATGCCCATTTATGAATATATTAATAGTAGCGGTTGCGCGATATGAGTTTTAAATGTGTTATGCACAACCTGATAACTACAGACTAGTATAATATTTATTGTTTGATCACTTGATACCTACTTTGTATGAAAAGTTTTCTTTAAATTTATGTTCATGTTGTTTTAGTTTTAAAATAAATGCTAGCTGGTTTGAAATCTTATATCTAATGCAATTACACTCATACATTTTAGGTAAGGCTTAAGTGTCTAAATATCTTTTTAACATGAAACTAACTTAAATGAATGTTTACACAACATTTACCACTATTATACAGAAATGACCAGTTTTGGGAAATTACTTTGGAAATGTAATAGGTTACAGATTGCAAGTTACCCTATTTAAAATGTAATAAGTAGTGTAACTATTTCAATTACTTTATTAAAGTAATGTAACTGATTACATTTTTGATTACTGTTCATCAGAAGAGCATCGCTTTACATAAAGAACTTTACATGGCAGGAGGCATCGAGCACATCAAAAACAGACAAAGCAACATATTAATATTATTCATGTCCTAGATTTTTACAGAAAATATTCAGATTACCCTGTTTGTAATCGTTAACATTTTCATAAGTAACTGTAATTTAATCACACATTCTTTTTTCAGTAACTGTAACTGATTACGGTTACATTTATTTTGTAATTAAATTAAGTCTTTTCTGTATCACAAAACATTTATGCTTGAGTAAATGTTTCGTAAATGTTCACTGAAGTTTAACAACTTATTTGTTATTGAACATCGGTTGATCCTGACCACCTCAGAACAGCCAAATATCATAACAAGTCATTTCAAACTGTATTAAAGGAATAGTTCACCCAAAAATGAAAATTCATCATCATTTACTCACCCTCATGTTGTTCCGAACCTGTATAATTTCTTTCTTATGTTAAACACAAAAGAAGTTATTTTGAAGAACCAAACAATTGTTGGTCCCCATTGACATCCATAGTAGGGAAAGAAATACTATGGAAGTCAAAAGGGACCAACAACTGTTTGATTACCAGCATTCTTCAAAATATCTTCTTTTTATGTTCAACATAACAAATAAACTCATACAGGTTTGAAACGACATGAGGTGAGTAAATGATGACAAAATTTTCATTTTTGGGTGAACTATCCCTTTAAAGGCCTAATGCACAAACTGCATTAATCATTTGAAACCAAAAAACGAACGAACGTTTAAACAACATTTACTCAACACAGGACTAACGTGGGAACAAGCACGAGAAGAACTAAAAGATCTAGCATTTTCTTGTGCCAGTTTCTACCTTTAAAGGCCTGTTCACACCAAGAACGATAACTATAAAGATAAAGATATAGTTCTAAAAATCGTTCTCAATATTAAAGAATAGCAGAGTTCACACCACAGCTATAACAATAAAGCCACAGAGAAACTATATAGTTGGAATCACTTTCAGAATGATTTTTTCCAGCTGATGAATGATACAAACATTGACAGCCAATCAGAATCCATCCTGCTATCACGAGCTCGAGAATTTAAAGCGGCAGACGCATGTGCGATTATAATAAACAGACGATATCGTTCGCTGGTGTAGACGCTAATATCGTTATCTTTATAGTTATCGTTCTTAGTGTGAACAGGGTTTAAGTCATTACAAATAGTTTATGCTTGAGTAAATGTTGAATAAACGTTAAAGATTAACAGCTCATTTTATCAGTTATTGGCTGTTCCTGACAACCTCAAAGTGGCCAAATGTTGTAACAGCCATGTCAAATTATAAATTGCACCATATGACAACTAATCTGTAGCACGCAAGCGATTGTACATGTGTGTGAGTGGTATAAATCAAGGTTGAGGCCGAGTCTGAACATGCCAATTACACACAATAAATCAGCTATGAGCTCTCACAGTGAGCGAGGGAGTTATATGAGCTAGCATAACAGCGCTGAAAGCCTATTATGACAGACAACAAGCACTCTTGATGGACTTTCAGGGATTCGGCGGATCTGTGCATGTGCACTCACCTGAGGCTGCTGAGGGATATTTACAAAGCTGGGGTCTCTGGGGCCCACGCTGACAAAGCGATGAGCAGGAGACGTGCTCGGTGTGGAGTAGGCTGTGGTGAATTAAACACACACACACACACACACACAAAATGAATATCAATATTGTATCGGGAGCAGTACAGCTGTTGAGAGGAAGGCTTGATACGGACACTGCACATGTTTGATGGGAAATTCTATTCATTATGAAAAACACTGAAGATTAGCTTTCGCATGCTTGGGAAACCCGAGACACTTTACGTTCGGGATCAAGTGTTGAGTGTGTGTGACGGCAGGTGATGGGCCATAGTACTCACTTGGCGAGGTGGGGGAGTTACCGCCTCCCTCGGTGGAGGTGGAGGGAGGTTTGGAGTCTGGCACGGGCAGGGGCACGGGTCGCGCCATCGGGGGAGGCGGAGGAGGCGGCAACATGGGGGTGGGCAGGAACGGGTTGTGCACCTTCCCTTGACTGCTCCCGTTGGGCTGGATAGAAAGAGGACAGAAAAAACAGAAAAAAGCACCCTGAGTATCAACTTCTGGACACGTATGACCAGCGGGCACAACAGAAGTATTGCACACGTGCGCGTCAGGAGAATGTGCTCAGCAATTTTTCGCTGCTCCTAGCCATAAAAAAATCTGCTGCTGTGCACACTTCACTGTTCATAATCTATGACCCAAACTGCTCGCTGTCTCTCCTCCAGCTGTCAGGGCCACAGCAGTTTGGCCAGAGCTGGATCAAACTCTCAAAAGGATTGGGATTTCTATATCACATTTTCACATTTATAGTTTTGAGAATATATATACATATATATGTATACTCACACACACACATATATAAACACATATAGTGCTGCCAAATCGATGAATCGCGATTAACTAGGCGATTAATTTTTTCAGTTTAACGCGTTAAAAATATTTAACGCAATTAACGCAGGGGCGGGGCTAGGGTTGGCCACCCCACTCACAACTGCTGCTTCTGTCACTTTTTCTCTTGACAAGTGCAATTATTCAGTCGCAGAACGACTGAGAACGGGAAACGTTTCAGGCGCGCGCTCCACTTTACTTCAGCGCCAGGCGCGAGTCAAACGAGCGCAGAAACGGTACTGTGCTCGCAGCGCGTGCTCTTCAATTGCACACACAAAGGCACCGGCGCGCGCTGTAGCCTGTATCCTTTCATATCAAAACGTGAAATAAACTACGTGCGTTGAGAGAAAATATGATGCGTGTCAGATCCGCTTCACGTTCAGCAGCGGCAGCTCTTAAAGAAATAACAGCAAAAATAACCTAATAACCAGCTGCTGTGATTTCTATTAATCAAAGGACAAAGAAAAAAAGAGGAAAAAATTACTTTTATAGCTTTAAGGATTAATCTATATTTAATTTAGAATTTTGTGTTTCAATTTCTGTATATTTCTGCTGAAGGGCACAGGTAAATATGACATTTATTATAATGGGTTTATGTGAAGATTGTTTTAAGTTCACTTAAATTAGAAGTTATTTTTTAAAGTCTAATAAATTTTAAAATTGATATCTCTCAGTTATACTGTAATGTCGAATGGCTATAGTCAATGGTTAAATATTGGCCGGGGGGGGCAATTTTATAGAGAAATCAGTATTGGTATCATTGATACTGGTCTTCAGTCATAAAAAAAGATGCCATTAAACAAATATTAAAAAATATACTGTCTTTATGTTGTTTGTACATTAATTTGAAGATTGAATATGAAATTATTGCAATATAAAAGTATATTTAAAAACTTTAATGTTAGGTGGGATTAATCGCGATTAATTTCAGAAAAATGTGTGATTAATTAGTGCTGTCAATCGATAAAAAAAATTTACTAATATATTTATATACATAATATATATGTGTGGTGTCAAGTAATTTTTACTTTAAAGGGCTAAATGTTAAATATTGTTAACATACACATACATGTTTTTGATTTTGTTTTGAGACTTAAAAATTAACATTTATAATATATACATAATATTTATTTTTAATATTAAAATTTACATTATATGTTAATAAATACAATTAAATATATAATTAAATATATGTTGTATTTTAATGTGCAGTAATAAACGTCAGTACAGGGGGCGCTAGCGTCAGCTTCGCATGTCTACATTAACTAACTTCAACTACTTTAAGATACTAGATACTGTCTGCCATTACAGTAATTTACCTAAAAAAACTTACTATAAAAGAAGAGAGTTTTCTATAATGCCTGCAACAGTGCCCCTTGTGGCAGCATTGAGAATGCCCTGCAGAATGAACTGAATTTATTTAGGACCATGTGTAGCTAGAAATTTACATACTTATGTGGAGTAAGTAGGGTATAAGTGCTATTCTCATTTACGGTATAATCTTTCTATCCATCCTGTTGTACGTATGTTTCTAGCATCAACTGCACTGCACAAATGAGCAAAACAGAAAAAAATCACTACAAACATGACAATCCAGCCAACTAGTTGTCTATATGGATACAAAACATGATAAGAAAGTAGTAGGAGTGTGTATGTATGTACAAAAATGCTCCTTCTTACATTAAGGAAGCCCACCTGTCCAGCTTGCTGACCACTGTCAGGGCAGACAAGTTGGACAAACTCCTTGAGCGTCTCCTGGGGGTGGTAGCGGATGGCGTGGTGGGGGAAGTACGAGCCAGGCTGCTGGATGATTGGCGACGTCGGGAAATGAAGACTTGACGGCGTGGCATGAGGACTCGCTGCAAAGAGACAAACAGAGGAGCTTGGTCAGAAAACGACAGAGAGGAAGGATGGAGAAGAGGGACTCCATGAAGAAAAGATGTGGGGGTTGTGGTGGGTTTGTGCTTGGTTGGATTGCTCATGCAGAAATTAAGGCATATAGTTTTGGAACGACATGAGGGTGAAAAGATATTTTAAAGATGTTTCAACTTTTTTGTCCATATAATGAAAGTCAATGGGGTCCAAAACTACAACACTGGAGCAACATTGACTTTAACTGTAAGGATTAAAGGTTACTTTTGGGTTTCTCAGAAATAAAGGCATACAGTTTTGGAATGACATGAGGGTGGGAAGATATTTTGAAGATGTTTCAACTGTTTTTATTCATACAATGAATGTCAGTGGGGTCCAAAACAACAACATTAGAACAACATGTTTTTTGCAAGGACGAGAGGTTTCTTTTGGATTTCTCAGAAAGTACATCATACAGGTTTGGAACAACATATGGGTGAGTAAATAATGGACACTTTTCACATTTCCAGAGCTCTGAGAAGCAGAAGTCATCATAGTTGTGTAAACTTCTATAGTGGTGAACAAACTACAACAAATATATATATTTGCTTTCCCATTTGCACCAACAGCAAAACAAAAATCCATGATAGCATTTCTATGGCTTTCCAGAGGAGGAAAAAATATTGAGAAAACATGTTGGTCCCTCAGCTGTTGGATTAGAAATATTTGCTACAGCATTGTTAAACAGTTTCCTGTGATTTAATGCCAATGTAATAAAATACAAAGTATGGTATGTGCATTAAATGACATTTTTTTAAACTAAAAATATATAAAAACTTTGCTAGATTTACAATGCCAATATCTGTGGAAACACTTAAGAACAGGCTGTGAAATTTCTTAAAGCCATTCCGCCTTATTACACAGGCCATACTCTTATCCCACACTGCCATGTCGTTGTTCAAATCAAATTAAAAATGGCATCTACTCCAACTCAGAAGGTCCGTGACAGCACACACTCACACACAATGCATGCACCTGTTCGTAACAATGGGTAGGCACCTCAACAACCAGCTGTTCAGTCAACAACACTTGAAAACCGCACGAGCACCGACGGAGAGCAAAAGAGCGCAGTACTTGGTACCATAACGGGTGCCAGATCCTTCTTTCATCCAGCGTCATTACGACCGATGCGACTAATAAAATGTCTCGGTGACGCATCGGTCCTCGGCTCTCTCGCACCTTGCTGGCAGGCCTTTGGAGCAGTCTGGGACTGAGAGTCCTTTAATGGATCGAACCTTATCAAGTATTTAATTGTAACCGGAACAATCTAATTAGGCGGCTCTTAATAGAGGTAATATTCGGTTATTGGTTATTAGTATAATGCCTGGGATGTGCGGCAGCGCTGGGTCTTTAAGCCGTGATGTATCGCAGCGGAGTTAATAAGACTCCGCACTCACCCTCTCCAATCTCTCGCTCTCTTTCAGGAGAGATGGTAAGCTGATACTACATAAACATTGTTAAAACCACAGCCCCCTGCTGCAGTAATTCACTTAGCTCTGGCCTTGATTTATGGCTCTGTCAATAGAGGGTGACTGGAAACTCTGGACGCTGGGGCTGCGATGTAGCCATTGTATTTACAGTAATAATGGAATGGACGACTCCCTCTTGCCCTTCTTTTGGTGTCGTTCTCTGTCTTACCTTTCCCGATGCCGTCTTTTCACGGCCCGGCTCTTTCTGTTGGGGGTAGGACACAAACTTTTATGAAGGAGATACGAAGACATGCACGCGGTGTCTTTACCGTCCCTGGCGGATTGGATTAGCCTGAGGCGCTGCCGCAGAGACCGAACCCCGCTGAGACACACCCTTTACAAGGCTGAGTCAGGATTTGAGTGGACAACACTCTCACTTAGCACAAATGCTAACAAACACACACACACACATTCAGAACCAGCATACACAAAAACTGCCAGCAAAGTCATCTCGTCAACACAATTACCAATAAAAGTGTTCTTAAATTTTTAATTTTTTTTACTTTGTCAATAATAAGAGTTGAAAAATGTGCAAAAGAAAAAGAAAAAAAATGTCCACACACTGAAAATAAAGATCCAAAAGCGCAACAGTTTTAATTAATATTGATAAATATGTGAAGAGAATGTGCTAATACATCCATTTAACCCAGTGGTTCTCAACCCGCGGCCCGTCACAAATTCAAATGCGGCCCACCATGCTGAACACAATTTAAAAAAATTACTTTCAGTTTTACAATTCATTTTAGTTTTTACATTAATTTAAAAATGTACTAAACAAATATAAGCTATAATGTTTTTGTTATGTAAAATAATTTTGTTTTTCATATATTATTTTCAGACATTAGCAGACCTGTAGGCTACTCACGTAATTAACATTACGCATTTAACGAACACTTACAAGCGTGCACTTTGGCAGAATTCAATTTAAATAGTCATCAGCAGCCATTAGTTCGGTAAAATTGAGCATCAGAATGGACAAATTTGTTATTAAGGGAGAAAAACGAAATGTGGAAAATGCCAGTGAAGGAACACATACAAACAAGAATAGTGGCAGTATCAGCAGTGAAGGAGAGTGCTGGACTTTCGGCATCAACTTTCGGTTTGCCCCGCCACTTACTTGAAGATGTTCAGGCAAAAGGAAACACCCATACTACGCAGCAATCATCCTTAATTGCAGAAATGTGACAAAACATCTCTGGATAGAACCTCAGATTATTAAATTCGAAAGTGCTTTCCATATTTG